TAAATATGGAGATAAGGAAACTGTGGTAAGAGTCCTGCCTCCTCAGCCCCCAAGGCCTGGCTGAGGCAATGCACAAGATCAAATTGGACACCAGGTGGAAAGTACAGCCAGTGGTGGAAATAACATGCTATGGGCAGCCTAGGATGATTGAGTTGACCAAATCTGTCAGACAGTAACATGAGGGAGGGAGTCAGTCCAGGCAGAGGGACTGCAGGGTCCCAGAAAGCTTCTCTCAATAACCAGCCCTCTCAACCCTTAGGTCATTGGCCACCTGCTGCATTTGTTTTATACTGTTGGATAGTGAATACCAGAGATTTAGTGGCTCAAAACAACAAGCATTTGTTATCTCGCACATTTGTTATCTCACACTTTCTGTGGGTCAAGAATTCAGGCATTGGGTATCTGGGTTCTCCTCTCAAGGTTGACATAAGGCAGAAATCAGGTACCCACCGGGCTGCATTCTTTTCAGAGTCTGTAGGTGAAATGATCCAGTTCCTTGTTAATTGTTCAACTGATGTCCCTGTTTTCTTGCTGACTGGTGACCAGTACCTGCTCTCAGCTACCCACATGCCCCCCCTCTGTGTGCCATCCGCAGCAAGGCTGTCTGCTTCTGTAAAATCTGCAGGTGAATTTCTAGACATTCTGCTCAGCTGGGGTCTTATATAGCATCGCCTAACTGAGGGAGTAACTAGTCCATGGTAGTTGAGGGAAGGGTATGATACAGGGTGAGAGTACCAGAACATATGAATCGTGGGGACCACCTCAAAATTCTGACCACACACCTGCAATTTATCATATCTAATGAGAAAATGTCACTTCTTTTGATACTTGACTTCTGGAACCATTGACACTCCATTCACTGATTCTCACTACTACCTTGAAATTCATACAGTGATCTTTTCTTGTCTCTCCAAACAGAACTCATCCATCCAAGTCCACTCCAACCCTGTATTTCCTAACACCATGACTGACACAACCATCCCCCAGTATCAATATAAAGATAGTGGCTGAGATCATGGATTCTTGAGTCTAAGTGCCTGAGTTCAAATCTTGGCCTTGTCATTTACTAGCTACATAAGTCTATGCCAGTTATATAACCTCTTCTCCTTTAGTTTCCCCATTTGTAAAACAAGAGTGATAATAGTACTGATTCATAAGATTGTGCTGAGGATTAAATCAGTTAATGCATGTATAGTGCTTAGAAAACAGGAGGGAATGTGATAAGCACTTGATAGATGTTAGTGGTTAATAGTCTATCCTACTACCTAGCATAGTAAAAGCATCAATAAATATATACAGAGAGAAATGATGAATGCCTCTGTTTTAGCTTAGACTCATTGCCTTTGCTTGACTATTGCAGTAGCCTCCTCACTGGGTTATGCTAACCACCATTCCCCTACTCCATTCATACTGCTCACCACCCTTAGGGACATACTTCTAATATTCATATATGAAGCTATTTTGTCCCTCTGCATTGCTTTGCACAATCCAGTGACTCCCCAACCCCCACATGGAGCCAAAGCAAACTCTGAACTCCTCATCTCAGCACATGTACAATGACCTGTGATCTCCTCTGCCTACCTACCTCTTGATCCGTGCATTTTCCAAACCACCAGCAGTTCCCAGAACAAGCCACCTTTCTTTATTCTTTCCATGCCCAGATTTCCAATTTCCTCTGCCCTGCCCAGCTGAGGAAATTATCATCTTTTGTTTCTGATGCTAGAGATTAAACCCAGGGTCACTTTACCACTGAGCTACATCCCCAGGCCTTGTTATTTTTTATTTTGCCTTGTTATTTTTATTTCCCTAAGCAGCTGAGGGCCTGGTTTAGTTGCTGAAGCTGATCTTGAACTTGTAATCTTCCTGCTTCAGCCTCCTGAGTCATATTATCAGTTTTTGCCTATAGCATCTGTAGTACCTGGTCCCAGACATGAGGGTTTCCAGGCAGAGTTAGATCTCTATGTCACTGTAACATTTATCAAATAACCATTTGTTTATATGTCAACTCCCCCAATGGGCTGAAGGCTCCTTTATAGAGAAAGTTAGATCTTAATCAGATTGGTATTCCTGGCAAGAAGCACAAGATATATAGTGGAAGATTAATATATGATTATTGAATGAATGCTTTGCTTTGGGAAGTACCTAATAAACCTTGATATTTGTATTTTCCCGAATCTTGTTTTGCTTGTAACTTTTGAATAGAAATAGTTACTGATGCTTATGTCACAAATTCATTGAGTTTTATTTGTATCCTTTAAAATGAAGATTGCTAGTTATCATTCATTCCCTAACAAATATGTATTGGGAAACACTTATCAGATACTAGAATTGAGGTGAGCAAATCAAATTTGGCTCCTCCCTTATAAGGCTTACAGTCTATTAAATCTATAACTTTGAAGAAGAGACTGACCTTGAGCCATAAATGCATCAATACAAAGTTATAAATCTAAGTGAGAGTTGTAAAGAGAACAGGTTACAAGGAGGGATCTAATTTATACATAAATGCTCCCTGACTTATAATGGTGCTATGTCCCAATAAACCCATCACACATTGAAATATCATAAGTGGGAAATGCATTTAATACTTCCAATGTACTGAACATCAGAGCTTAGGAACACAGAACACCATAGGTTATTGGTTGTTTGCCCTTGTGATCACATGGCTGACTGGGAGCTGTGGTTTCCTGCCATAGCCCAGCACTGTGAAAGAACATTGTACCATATATGGATAATCCAGGAAAACATACAAATTCAATTCTCAAAGTATGGCTTCTACTGAATGCAAATCATCTGTGGACCATTCTGAACTCAAAAAAGAAAAATAAAATCACAAAAAGATCTACCATAAATCAGGGACCATCTGTAGAAAGTTTAGGGAACTTCTCTTTGAAGCCTTGACACTAGAGGGGATGTGAAAGACTGGATAGGAGTGAGCCAGGAAAAATCATGGGGAAAGAGCATTCCAGCCCATGGAAACCACATGTGCCAAGATCCTAAGCAAGCAAAAGGCAGCTGGTGAGGCGGGGGCTGGGAGTTCGAGTTGAGGGGACACAAACGTTGAGGAAACTGTCAGGGGCCAGATCATAAGGCTTTGATCTGAAATCTGGATTTTATCCGTGCATAAGGAAGCTGCTGAAGGTGTAAAACAGGAGAGTGACATGAACCTCTGGGTGGGATCTTCCCATGAGCACTATATTGTGCTCTGCTGATGTGGGAACAACTCTGGATTTTAGTGGTGAAAACACCAAGAACCCTTATTGTCCCTGATAAGCAAAGCTGTGGTCACCAGCTCCCTCCCCTGAACCCACAGAAGAAAGATAACAGAAGCTCACTTCCAGGGTCACACAGGAGAAGACCTTAAGCTGTCCTGGCTATTCAGATGGAAGTTGTCATCTCCTCCAGAGACCGTATGAGATGAGACATGCCAGGTAGATAGGATCTAAGGGTCCTTCCAATTCTGACATGAGTCTCTGGAGCCCAGTAACTGGAATCAGTATCCAAAGCCAGGTGCCTCACTTGCCAAGGGCTTTGGGTGACCCTGGGAGGCCATAGCACTTCCTAGAATGCTCTTCCCTCTCCCACATAGTCACAGCACTCCTATGATAAGCCTGGCCACGCTGATCTGGCAGTGTTCTCCTATGAAGCAGTAAATGGTGGCCTGTAACAAACTCTCCCCCATCTTGCCCTTGGTTCCACAGACAAAAACAGGAACACTCAACTGGCCCAGCAAGGTGTCATTTAGGTCAGGTTCTGGCAGCTGTGGCTCCCAGCTCTCACTATTCTCTGGGTGCCCTTATAGACCTGGCTCCTCTGCCCTGCATATCACCAGAATGTAAGCACCCTCTTCATCTCACAGCTCCTCATACCAGGTAGGAGGAGGAAGGAAGTAGTTTCATCCTCTCTGCATGCAACCCTTTGAGAGCTACTTGAGGCAATTTGTCACTCAGTTTCAAGCTGCCAGCCAAGGAGGGGAGCTGAGAAGACTCTGTAATGAGATCCTTACTCTGTAATTAAGTGCCAGGCTTTGTTTTACACCTATCTTTCCCATGGAGCTGATCACATCACCAGGATCCCCCAGGCAGTGAATGGGGAATGGGAGTCACTCTGTGATTACCCCAGCTCCCAAAGACAGGTTAGAGGGGAGGGTCCTGTCTGCCCCACCTGTTCCCCCTTTCCCCAGTCTTACTCAAGACAGTGCCATTTCTGTCCTTGAACTGGATTTCACCCCGGAAAGCCATTCCACTGCTTTCTGATTCAACTTCTCTTTCTAAACTTTGGGTTGTGACAGCCTCCAGGGAGTCGTTTCTTTCCTTTGACAAGCCCCTTTTCCTGAAAGTGCAACAAATCCCAGCAGCAGAGGAAGGGCAGGAAAAGGAAAGAGAAGTTAGGGCAGAGGAACACTAGACTCATAGGACACAAAGGGTCTGTCCTCTCTTGCATTCTCCCAAATGAGAACTTTCCTTCCTCAAATCACCCCAGCTCACAAACACAGTAGCATGGGCTGACCAGATCCTGTCATGAAGATCATCAGAATTTGCCCTGAAGTTGCGCAGCGGAAAGAGCAAGGCACTAGGACTTTGGACACTTCAGGTCTTTGGACAACACTTCAGGGGTTTGCTGAAGTGTTGGGTTTTGCTTCTCTGTACTACGGAAAGAAAAGGGGCAGTGCTGACCTGGATGATCTCGGTGGACAGACATATTTGGGATCTACAAGGGCCCCTGCAGGACCTCTGCCTCCTCTCGGCGGCCCTTCCCCTGGATGCAGGGTACTCACAGCGGCCAGTTCCCTGCGCCACAAACTTTGGAGCATTTTGTGTTTTCCCTCGACACGTGGACACCTTGTCCAATCCCCCAGGGTCACTGCCACGGAAGCCCGAGGTCTCCTACTTAACAAGAGAGCAAGAGGGGACGGGGCGGTCGGTGGGCGTGGCTTGGTGGTGGGCGGGGCCTCCCGGGACCTGTGGGGCCTTCCCAAGCCCCGTGCATTGCTGCTGGGAGGAGCGAGCTGAGGCTGGAGGAGGGAACCGAGGCTGGAGTAGCGAACGGAGGCTGGAGGAGGGAGCCGAGGCTAGCCACGCTCCGGGATTCACCCCGGGAGGTGAGCGTCCGCAGCTGCAAGAGACCAAAGTGGGGCCCGAGTCCTGCGCGCGGGGTGGGAAAGCCGACGCCTTTGGCTGTCGGGGGGCCTCTGCCCCTCCTCCGGCCTCCCCCAGGAGCTGGCCTGGGTAGTTTCCAACTCGTTTCCCTCTGCGATCATCCCATACCCGCATGGCACTCTCAGTATGGCGGTGCTGAGGAAGGTGGGGGTCCCTTGACCCAAGGTGGGGAGGGGAGAGTGACACGTGGATCCCTGTGCCCAACAGGCAGGACAGGAAGAAACCTTGGCAGTATAACTAAGGCATTCTCATACTTGCCTTGGAACAGAGCCATTCTTTCTTGGCAGACTTTTACATTTTTAACCTAGTCCCCACCCTGTGGAAGGAGCAGGTGACTTGTTCTGAGTTAGCTTTCTCCTTGCCCTCTTGGAAAGGAAAGACACATAGCCACTGCTAGTAGGGCCATGGAGATCCCAGAAAGTCACTGAGATGCTCCACAAAAGGCTTTAAACACCTTGCCCCATAGTGCCAGGTGGAGCAGCCTGGCAAACACTCCACAGTAAAAATTGTTGACCTTTTTTATGTTGGAAAAAAGAAAAAAGAAAAATGTCAGCCTGTGATGATAATGGCCCAGTGGCTCTGCGTCTGTAAAACCACAATTGAAAAGACATTTTATGGGGTGGGTTTGGAACCACATTGTGGTTTGGTTGATTGACTCTCCTGTGGGTGAGATGCTTCCAAGAACACTACTTGAGGCCTCATTCAGTGGAAATCTATAATGGTGGCTTTCTCCCAGGTGTGGGTTAGCTATATGGATACCTAGTATTTGGGACACATCCGTCCAATATAGTCAACTCTGAACAGCTTGACCCCACTGACCTTCAGATACTGTTGCTGCGCAATAACCCAATCAATGCAATGCCTTGTTTGGACATCAAGTGTGTTTGTAATGCTGTCCTGCTTCTCGGTGCCTGGAAGAGGGGGTTGGTTATCTGATGATGCTAGCTGCCAAGCAGGCGTAATCAGACTCTTGCCAGATGAGTTTAGTTTGATCACTTTTCTCTGCATTTACTCAGGATCTGAACAGTCCATCCAAGATCTCCTGGACACTTTGACTCATTTCACCTTTTTCTCTGGGAAAGAAAACAATGGCCAGGAAATTCCCAGAGTGCCATGCACAGCCAGTCAGAAGGAAAGCCCTGGAGCAGAGCCCTGGAAAAAGTTCTGTGGGGCTAGATGCTAATCCTTCCCTTATCACATTGTGGAGAGGTTCCAGAGGTGTCCCAGAGGAAGGGCCCAGGCCAAAGCTAATTACCAAGCAGTACAAAACCAGTCTATATTTTAACAAAATTGTGATGGTACCCACAGGCTTAATTATCCTAACAGGCACTTATTTCCATCCTAAACAGTGGCACAGGATCACTGCTTTGGACATTTATTCTTTGAGCAGAGCAGGAAGCTTTCTGATTCCATTGTCAGAATGCAAAGCCGATCCTGTCGGGTTTTCAGTTTGGTTTGAGGAGGGAAGACACCTCCTGGGGAAGGCATGTGCATCACAGAGACTACTTTGTTGATTTCCACACATCTGGAAGTGTGACTGCCCAGCGATGAAATCAGAATCGGTCTATTTGTTCACAGACTTGGATAGCAAGGAAACCCTGGAATGTCCAGTTACTGATTCCAGATGTGTTTGTTTCATTCTTTTTTAAAATTAATTAATTTATTTGTTCTAATTTGTTATACATGACAGCAGAATGCATTTCAATTCGTATTACACACATGGAGCACAATTTTTTATTTCTCTGGTTGTACACAAAGAAAGAGTCACACCATTCGTTGTCTTCTTACATGTACCTAGGGTAATTATGTCCATCTCATTCCACCATTTTTCCTATCCCCTTGCCCTCTCCCTACCCCTCCCTCCCCTTTGCCCTATTCAAATTTCCTCCATTCCTCCCATGCTCCCCCTACCACACCCATTATGAATCAGTATCCACTTATCAGAGAGAACATTCGGCCCTTGGTTTTTTGGGATTGGCTTACTTCCCTTAGCATGATATTCTCCAACTCCATCCATTTATCTGCAAATGTCATGACTTTATTCTCTTTTAATGCTGAGTAATATTCCATTGTGTATATATACCACAGTTTCTTTATCCATTCGTCTATTGAAGGATTGGTTCTGTTATGGGGAGACGCCTCAGAAAGCACTCTAAGTCCGAATTTCAAATCAAAAGAGAGCTTTATTTACCTGGCCAGGAGCTGTCACCCACCACAGAGACTGAAGCTCTGTGGGTGGACAGCATCTTCCTGGTCCATCCAAAGAGAATATAAGCACAAAAACCACAACTCAGTGACTTGTTTATTGTCATGTAAGCTAGCCAATCATAGAAATTCAAACATTAATAAGTGGGACCTGTGAGCTCTAGGCAAGACTGGAATTTTCCAGTCAGCAAGCAAGCGATAAACAGAAGCAAAAAAAAAAAAGCATTAGCTTTGCAGTTCAGTTGACCACAGTCCTGGGTTCAAGCAGGTGCTGGACAGTCGCATCCTGAATTTGGGCAGGGGTCGGTGGGCAGAGAATCTACTTCAAAGTCACGTAGACCCACAAGGTCATTCAAACCCAGGATATAGCTCACCATGACCACCGCTACATCCTGAGTAGGTTACAATTTGTGGGGTACAAAGTGAAGAAAAGCAATTTTTATAAGAAAACAAACAGCTTTCATTTCAGTTTCTCAGAAACAGTTCTTGTAACAGTGTTTTATAGAAGGCAGCAAAATGGACAGTTCTTGCTTTATAATTGTCTTATCTCACTTATCAAAATCTTATGTCTATAGTCTATATTTTTTACTAATCTATAATCTATAATTTACACTCTTATTGATTGTATTTATTAGTTCACACCACAACCGTTCCACAATTTAGCTATTGTGAACTGTGCTGTTATAAACATTGATGTGGCTCCCTCAACTGTGGAAAAGAATGCAGAAAGCAGATCTCTGAATCTGCCTGAAGCTCTGAATCTTCAGTCAGTTCTCCAAATCTTTGAGTGGTTTGAAGTTCTGGCTTCATAGTTCCCTAATTTGTGAACCACGACCTATGACGTATTCAGCTCTGTGGGGCAAACACAAGTTTGGAGTATGGTTTCTATTATTCTGAAGCCTCCAGGTGTAGATGGGAAGATAAAACCAGCACCTGTGAGATAATTAGAGAGCAATTAAGTACAAAATTATGTGGTATCGTCCTCTAGTTCAAAGATAAAGCCCGGGTATGCTTAGAAAAGGCAAAGAAGACTTTCAGGAACTATTTGGTCTTGAGCTCAGTTTAGAAACCACAAAGACTAGACAGAGTAATAAGAAACTCAGGACAAGCAAAGGCACTTGCTGTCCACAAGCTGCACTCTGAACTCCAGCTCTGGTCACTCTTTTCAGGCACACAACCTACTGACCACACCATTTTTTCCTACCCTTTTTTCCCCTTTTTGCTTGCTCTCCTGTGTGCAGGATGCTCTGCTAGGGGCTCCCCTAGATTTTTAAAGCATGCCAATGCTACCTTCTGCAGTGAAGGCTTCCCTGGCTGGCCCCGACTCCAAATTTCTCACAGAGCTGGAGAGCTTCTCCCTTGTCCTCCCATTGCTCCTTGCATAGACTCCTATTGAATCTCTTACCATCCTGGAGTTGAGGGGGTCTTTGCCCCACTCACAGAGGTTTTTAGGGAGTCCTAGGCTAGACATCTGATTTTGAAGGTCCCAACAAACAAACTCTGAGGTTCAGCCACTTGCCCCAAAAACCAGACAGAAAAGATAATAATGAAAAACAGGAGGAGATCTTTAATCAATATGGCCATCTTGGAAAGGCAAAGCAAGATCCAGCATCTCAGCCCTGTCTTTGGTTGTTGACAGGAGCTTTAAGTTTAAATAGACGAAGAACTGGGGGAATGTGTGAGGGGTATGCAGAAATAAGCAATCTCAGTCAAACTGTGGTCTGGTTGATTTGTTTTGTCAATTCTTACTCTGTGAAGTAGCTCCAGGGAAGTCCTGATCATGTGACAATTGCCACTTGCCACTCAGGATGTCTATTAGTCCTGTGATCTTGGAAGGAAGAATTATTTTCCATGAGATGATTGCCTATGCTTGGGGAGGGAAGAGTCTCATTCTGGGGTGATCTGAAAGATGTAGGGCAACTGCTAAAGACTTGTGAGCACTACTCCAGGGTTCTGAAACAGGATGCTGCAAATCTTGCCCCAGTCTTAAAGGAGGATGAGGTAAGTTAGGTAAATTTAGGGCTAATAAACCTTACGTTATTTTTTTTTAGATGAACATCCTTAAATGATTATCATGCCAATGTGCAGAGCTGAGCAGATCACAAAATTGAAGGTAATAAAGGAGACGGATACATAGTCAGGCAGGGATGCCAAACTTTATCCTGTTTGTCATTACCTATAGGACATCTGAAGGAAGTAAAGAGCCACTGCTTTTAGCCAAATCAGCCTCTCTGAGTCCCTGTTACAAGGCAGAGCTGTGTCACATCTGGGGATCCTCTGAGCCAAAGGTAGTATCTGGCACACAGGAGGCATTTGGTAAATGAGCCTTGATTGAACACCAGCCACATAGAGGGAAGATTAAAGCTCCCACTTACTTGGAGCAGAGGATGTGAGATGTGTTATTGAAGATCTAAGATTGGATCAATTAGGTGGAGCTCATTCCCAGAGCTCTTGAGGAGTGTGAGTTTAATGCAGTGGTAGTTCTCAAAACCCTCTACCGCCCTCAGAATGGAATTCTAGATTCTTTTTGATCTGGCCTCAACATATCCTGTGCAGGCTCAACTCACACCTTGAACAAACAGTTGGTCTTCAGAGCCACCCCAGCTCCAAGCAACACCCCAGCCTGGATTCTCTCTTGCCCTTTGACCGTGCTACTTAGAAGCCTCTGCCAGGACTGCGCACTGCTGTTCCTACCTAACTAACACTGGATCCTTGGGACCCCTTGTGTGTAGCCCCTGTGTGTGCAGGTCCCCTGGGGCAGGGCTATGAGTCCTCAGTGGTCCAGAACATCCCAGGCACATCCTCCAACAGCAATTAACATACCCTCCTGTAGCTGCAGTGACATGGCTGTCTTCCTGATGGTGACTGTGAACTCCTTGATGGCAGCCAAGGGTTTATCCTGGGTGTCATACCATCAGCTAGCTTTGTTCCCAGGAGATGGTTTTCCAATAAACATGTATGAAATGGAAGACTAAAAACAACACTGGGGTGATGAAAATACCAAAGTAAGGAAAAATCTACAGACATTTGAAAGGGGTGGGGGAGTAGGATTTGGTGATTAATTAATTCTATAAAAAGAGTAAAGGACACTGCAGGTAGGGGCAGTGTCCCACAGGGATCAGATTCCTGGCCTAGGAGAAGTCCACTTATCTGTCTCTGAGTTCCATGCAAAAAAAAAAAAAAAAAATGTTTTTATCTCTTGTAGGATTTTCAAAATGCAAAATATTTTATCATTTGGGGGCCTAGTTGAGTCTGGTATAAGAGGACATCCAGATGGATGTCCTTTGAAACCAGGAGAGGTCAAGGCTAGAGAGAGATCTTGAGGAAGGAGTGGGCATGGTCCAATTTGTGAGAGCAAAATGTGGTCACTGAGGGAAGAAGCCTACAGCTGAGAGACCCCCGGAGGGCAAAATGTCCAAGCTAAAGGGAGTAGGAGATGGGAAAAGAACTGGTGAGAAATAGAATGGTGGAAAGATAGAAGGGAAATCATGGAAGCCAAGAGAAGATAGCCTAAGAAGAAATAGTGGGCCAGAGCTGTCTGATGCTAACAAACAAACCAACCAACCAACCAAGGAGGTTCAGAAAAGAAAGGAAGAAAGCAAGCTTCAAGAGGGCACCCTTGTAGGAAAGCCAGAGTTCAGGGGTTAAAAAGAGGCTAGTTAGTAGGAAATGGAAACACTGGGGAGAGACTTGGGCTTCATGTCTGAGGAACCTGGCCATGAAATAAAGAGTAGATTATTTTGCATGAAAAAGGGGAAGTAGTTGGGTCAAGAAATGAATTTCTGACTGTTTTGTAAGAGACTGATGTGTAGCTTGCGTGCAGGACAAAAGGAACCTGTTTATGCTGAAGGAATGTGGGTAAATTCTCCTGTTCGTATCGATTATATTTTATTTAATTTTTTTTTTTTTTGTTTCCCTTGCAAGTATCTCATAGAACTTTCTGGTGAATTTCCAAAGTCATGGAATCGATCACTAAATCTAAACCACTGGCTGTTGCAATGCCAAAATGAAAATATCATTACTAACATTATAAACTTCTCTCAGAGGTCCCCACGCTTGACTTTCTCTCATAATGGTGGTGGTCATTCTATCCTTTACACAGATTAATAACACCAGCCATAGCAGCAAACACACACACATAGCATTTACTTGGAGCCAGACACTGTCCCAAGTACCTGGGGAAGGTAAATGGCGAACCAAGGTTCAGACTCAACATGTCTGTCTTCAGGTCCATGCACTTAAACCACCATGCTAAACTCAAAATTAGTAAGTTGGTATTTTATTGTAAATTAATGTTAATGTTCCTGATACTTCTACAAGATTCATAGACAACTCTGACAACGTGGCTTGTCCAGAGTTGCCAAGCCACTAATTCTCCAGACCCAGTTTTGTTGTGTGTCAGACCAGCTTTAGTAGTCAATAAATAATTTAATAGCTATCAAATAATCTACCATGTGCAAAGTATTGCAAGAACCCTGCAAATCTGAGCTGTGTATTCCATCTCATTTGCTCTTCCTAATCACTCCAATTTGGAGACAGGGGAAACGCTGCCAAGATTTGAACTCAAACAACCACAATAAAGGCAAAATCTAATGCCGTTTTCATCTGTGAGTGTTTTGTGATCTGAGATTCCCTCTCATCTTGCTCAGAGGTGTAACTGAGTCCCTGTAATTTTCAAGGCTATCTTTTATTTTCTTTGTCAACATGTTAAACAAATCGATGGTATTCATCTCTAATATGAACATACTCAGATGTGCAAAAAAATCACAACTTTTTCTTTATTTCCTAGATACTGACTTAATATTTGTTTGGAGTCTTCATCTCCCTGGGCTGGGAGCCATAGAAACGGCCTCAGTTTGTATCACAATTGCCAGATTTCACTCATTGCCAAGACCTCAGGGGCAGAGCTGGGAGGCGTTTACTGCCCAGTTCTCTGATCCACACAAGGGGGCTCTTGTCCCTGTCTACTCGGGGACCCCTTCGGTTCCAGTTGGTCTCTACTGCTTCAAGAACACAAGGCTAACTTTTTGGGGTCAAGTCACAGTGCTGTCCTCCTGGGGACCTGCAGACCTCCTTTGCTTTCTGGTTTCTCCCTTGCCTCTCTGCTTCTACCTAGCAACCCCCCACCCCCCTTTCTTACTGTGCCTCCTATCAATGACTCTGTGTCCTCTCCCTACAGCTTTGTTTAGGAAATCAAAGCCAGAAGAACCTGCATGTGTACTTCTGAGTACAGTCCTGCTACTTGCCTGCCCAAGAGCAATGACCAGGGGATCTTCTAGAGAGGTGCAGGTGAGCATCGGAAGGTGGAAATACAAGAAGGGGGAAAACAAGTTTTCTAACCTCAGAATATCATCTAGCCACAGATGTAGTCCCCTTTAAGAGTACATTTTTAAGGAAGGAAGAAGTTGCTATCCAGGATATATGTTATAGGTACATTGATAATGTTATTTTCCACTATTTTTTTTTCAAGATCCTTGGTAACAGGTTTGCAAATTTGCCAACATGGAGATGAATATTCTGCTCCGGGGAGGATTGGCTGTGGTCTGTGATTTCTGTCATGATACTCAACAAGTTTCCTTAGGCAATTTTAGAGTTCACAAGGATGTGAAAACACTACCAGTTCAGATTTGCTATTATACATACATATGGAGAAACTGAGGACACAAAGTTAAACTTGTCTGGGATGCCCCAGTGGTACCCAAAGAAGGACCCAGATTGACTATTACCCAGCCCAGTGCTTCTGCCATGATTGCAGGTATCCTGGGAGTAAACACCACTAGCAAGTTGGAGCCCTGAGTCAGTGTGGAGCACAGCCACCACAGGCAGCCTGCCCAGGCAGATTCACACATAATAAACTTCCTAGGGAGAACAGTGCCCTGGGCACATGGAAGGGACCTGTGCTCCCACATGGGCTGGCTCCTGCTCACAGTCACTCAGGCACAACCATTGAAATCATCTTTTCTCTTCGATGCCCAGAGACTCACAGAGATCCTCCCTTCTTCTTCACCTCTTTGGGGGCTCACCTTGCAACTGAGGCATCTGCATAAGCTGCAGAGCCAACATGGTTTTACGTACCTAAGGAGTTTAAGAGAAATGCAGACTACAGATTCCCAGGATGGTTCTCAAGTGTTTTATAATTTCTCTTCCCATTTCCATTCTCTGCGTATAACTGATCACAGTTGAATAGGATTTCTATTCCCTGTTCACACCTCCCACCCTGCCCCAACCTCTTTCAATTTACATCACAGTCCAAATGATTTTTTTGCTGCTCCGAGCAGATTGTCTGTGTCATTACTTTCAGGGGATGCTATATTGGACTTCCCAGCTCTAAGCTCTCCAGCTCCCTGACCTTGCAGTTACCTAGCTCTCCTGGCAATTTACTTCGCCCATCAATACACCAGGTTTAGCTGAGTTGCATTCGGGGAGGCTGTCAGAGCCTGCCATGTTAATTTTCTAATTGAGAATATGAGCACAGACTGAACGGGGAGACAGGTAAGCATGTTCACTTCCTAGGTGAGCTCTCTCTCCCTGAGGATTTTGGATGTGTTGTGCGAGTAGTTCACTTTTCAAAAATCATCCAGATGAAATTATTTATTTTAATCAGATGCCTTTAAAACTGTGCTAATGAGTTTATAATAAGCAGACAAAAGGGAAGCCACCCTGTGCCTAACCCATTTCAGTTCTCAACATACTGTTTTCAGATTATCACTCCCTTGGTGGCTGCTGTTTTTGTTGTTTTATGGTGCTGGGGACCACCACGAGATGATATTAAAGAAAACAGAGGAAGCTGGTACATAATTTCCCATGAGTACTCAAAAGAAAAACACCAAATCACCCTAGCATGTTGAGAAACCCACTTCCTTCTCGCACTGTTCCCCTTCAGTGGTTTTAAAAGGAATGCCTTTCTGCTGAGGGGTAGGCGCATAAATGATGGCTTTCTACTTAAGCAAGTAAGAAATATTAGAGGATTACGTGGATAATTGGGTTCTCTGGTTTGGACACTGGAGGGTCCTCGGTAGCCTGCTCTTAATGTTGCTGGAGGAAGGAGAAACTATTATTTTACAGATGATTTAGACTGATGCACAGAGGGTTTCAGCATTTGCTCAAGCTCACACATCTGTTACATGGTGGAGCTAGGATCTGAATCCAGCTACTAGCTCAGTTGTCATTTTAATCTCCAAACTCACCTCATTATGCAAGCAATATAAGCTTCCCAGAGGGCCCAGCCCAGCCTCTCCCACCCTGATTCTGCCCTCTGTGCGCCCCCTGCTGGTCTCCAGGAGAAGTGTTTCTCCTGAACCAGAGAAATTGACCCCAAACCCTCCTGTTTTCTTAGCTCCTAGTAAAACGGTGGGACCCTTCTGGCTCCCCCTCTTCTGAAACCCCAAATGAGTCCTCTTGGAGGTACTATCTGATGCTTCACTCTTCAGGGATGAGAAGGGCTTGGGAGTGAAGAGTTCTTCTCAAGATTGATTAGGCAGCATGAAGCAGCCCGGGTGGGCAGGAAAGCAGTAAGCACCTAGACTGATAGCACATCTCTTGATAGCACATCTCTTAAGGTCCTCCCCACTCTGTGGTCAGAGGAGCAGCAACTTGATCACCACCCAGGAGCTTGTTAGAAATGCAGGCTCTGTGGCCCCACCCACAGGGGATTCTCCTGCAAAGCACCCGTTGAGGCTCTGCATGTTTTTGCAGTAGATTTAATTTTGACTTTGTTTAAAAATCACAATGACAAGATTTCAACTGGATTCAAACCCTAGCTCCATGATTTAATAGATGTAAGACCTTAGGCATGAGCTTAGCCTTGGTGAGCATCCATTTAAATCATCTATAAAATGATGAAAAGCAAAACTGTTCAAATCTTCAACTCTCAGGACACTCTTGTCCTAAATCTGAGACCCAGTAATTGCACAGAGTCTCCTAACAGCACCGTGATTTACCTAGTCCTATTGCTTAGAAATGTCAAGCTCTGATGGTGACCTTAGCTCTATGTTCCCCCAGAAACTCACAAGATCCTTTTGTCAGCAAGTTCTCTGCTCACTGGAGAGTAGAGACGGTAGAATTGTCTTGTCCTTGTGCTTGATCCTCAGAAATCAAACGACCACAGAAATGTCACGAAAGAGACTTCTGGGTCCTGGGGGAAAACTTCCCCATCACCACAGTGAAATTTTTTTCCCCTCCCTGGAGTTATAAGAAAGAAAGATGCCCATTGGGCTGAGTGACTGAGACATCCACCTTCTGAACGAGAGGCTGGGTCAGAGATTTTTTCAAAATCCCTTCCACCCTGATGTCCTATGTGCTTCGATTTACAAAATGGCCTTGATCTTCTCTGATAAACATTCCACTTAATAGAATCACACCTAAAAAGAAAATCGCTGTAGGACACAGAAAACCACCTGCGTAATGTTTTCTGTTTCTTCCTCTTAATTAGCTTTCCTGTTCTCTCTTAGGAAAACAAAAGCTCTTTCTCCTGATTCATTCTCCCCCCACCCCACCTGCACACACACCATCACAGTGACGAGATTCCTACAGAATCAAAAACTGAAGCCTTGAAACAACCTGGGGACCCTCTGCCTCTAGAATGAAAAGAACTTAGAAGGGCCTCATACTAGGATGAGGAGGTAAGTGCTTCTGATGAAAATATGTCTTCTTCAAATTATGAATGGGAAAAAAATTGCTGGGGTGCTTAAGTTGTGCCAAGTACTGCAGGGGATCCCACGTGAATAAAATTGAGTTCCTGCCCTCCAGATTTACAATCTAGTGGGAAAGGCATAATGTAATAAAAATGCTGTCGTGGAGATGTACTCAGAATATCAAGGGCCAGAGACAAAGAATGCCTGGAGAAATGGGAGGGCTGTTTTGTGGAAGACCCGGCCTCAGAGGCAGCCCTTGCAAGGAATGTTGGGATGGGATGAGCTGATGAGGCATGCATAGGCATTCCAAGCCCAGAGACCAGCCCAAGCAGAGAAGTCGGGGTGGAGGTCAAATTCTGAGAATGGCAAATTATATCTGGGAAACAAGGCAGCAACGGGAAGGCAGTCTAGACATCGCCAGGAAGGTAGGCTGGGTTGAGTTTCTCCCTCTGTAAAATGAGAGTGCAGGCCCTAAGTATCTCCTCTAAGTAACCATTCCAGATTTAGGGTATGGTTGCAGGAGGAGAACCCCAAAGCCATTCTGCAGAGTTCTAATTTTGAGAGCCTAAAGAGCCAGGGGAGACTTTTCTGGTAGGAGTTGTGCTCTGGGAAGCTCCCTCAGGGAGGGATGCATATGTCAGAGTTACACATGATGTTAGTCAGTCTGTTACTGTCACAAAATACCTGAGACAATGAATTTAATAAAAAAATGTTTTCTTTGGCATACAGTTTTTGAGATTTCAGCCCATGGTTGATTGGCCGAGTTGCTTTGGGCCTGTGGTGAGGCAGCACATCATGGCAAGAGTGCATGGTAATGGAGACGTTTTTCAACTCATGGTAACTGGGAGGCAAAGAGAGAGATAGGAAATTGCTGGGATCTCAATATCTCCTTCAGGAACCTAATTTTCTCCTGCTAAACCCCATTCTACCACTTCCCAACAGTGCCATGGGCTGGAAACCAAGCCTTCAACATAGGGGCCTTTGGGGAACATTCAAGATCCAAACCCTATCACCCACTCTGGGAGGTGGTTGCTTTAGTGGCCCAGGCAGGAGACAGTGGAGCCTGGCAGCAGAGGCGAGGCGGCAGAATGGTAGGGCAGGGGAATCACTGCCAGAGATCCCGGAGGTGAAATTCATAGCATTGGCCACCAACTGCATTGATGCCATCCTTGAAGCTTCTTCCTGTGGGGACTTAGGAAAGCCACTTATTTTATTTTTAAGGATATATGTACTGAAGACAGAAACAAGGGTCCATGACCAACAATGAGTTCGAGGCAGTGTTTGGCCAGTTCAAAGGGATTTGGAAAGGTTGTAGTGCATATGCTGTGCATTTAGGGGAAATGCTGCAGATGCAGAAAAGGATATCTCAGGGTGTGTTCAGGGGAAGAAGCAAGGAACAAGCTCACTCTCAGAAGCAGATGATATGATACAAACAGGTAATCCCTTCAAGTCATGGTCCAAGTGAGATGGGGCTGCCCTGAATGGGCCCAGATCAGTTCATCCAAGGGACCCAGAGAACCAGCACACAGCTCTCAGCACCTGGGCAGCCATCTCTGCAGGTCCAGGAAGAGGAAGGGAGGCCCCCCACCCCCCTGGCAGAACACAAGCAAATTCATTCATTTAGCAGATATTTGCCAACATAATACCTTCGGAGTGCTAGTGATGGCAGTAAACCAAACAGAACAAGCAAAAGAATTCTAATTCACAAACAGGGACACAGGTGGGACTCTCAATAGAAGCCGGGGAGTTTGATGACAGTTGTAGACAAATTTCTAGAGGAGATTTAGTGGATGGTCTGCAGCTCAGGGAACCCTGCACTGCGTACGTTCACTGCAGCAAGGTCACATGCATCCTGACAGGGTTTCCAGTTTCTACCAACTCCAGGAGGGAATTCGGTTTGGACAGCATGTCTCCCCACCCTCACCCAGTGCTCATGGAACAAAGACTAAACATAAAAGGGACATTTCTCACTGGGCTAGACTTAATAGTCATGTTTTGTGTTATAGAATCATCGTAAACACTTAGAGATGCAAACAGAACCTAGTGAGACCAGCTAGCATCAGTAAATAAATCAGCCATTCTCCTGAGCATGCTCCAGTGCCCAGAAACTTAATGTGCTGATCTCCGAGTCCTGTTTATAGAACTGTAGGCAGTCGCCAGACTTTTACCCTGCTGTGCTCGTCCTTGGTGCTCACAGAAGATGCTAATGCTCGCCACTGCTCGGGCGTGATGGGTCTAAGTGTGGGTGTGGAGCGTGTTTGCTTGCATGAAGTCGCCTTTCCCCAGGCATGGGGTGAGCGCCTTTTGCACTCAGGTTTGCATGAGTGAGCCGCCCTCTCTCACCACATTAACCTTAGTGTGAAGTGCGGAGGCCCAGCCTCCTCTGCTTGACTTGAGTGCCCCTCCCAGTGTGGTTGCAGGGTGCTGCCCCAGGACTGCTACAGAGCTCTCTATGGGCATTGCTGTCCCAACACAGGCAGCCACACGAGTGGCCAGTAGAGGGCAGCAGCACGCTCCCTCCCAGTCAGGAGCTGGAGCTGGGCCTCCCTGGGCTGCTAGACCTAGGAGGCAAAGCCAGCTGCTTCTGGGAGAGGCAGGAGGGGCTGACAGTGTGGATCACTCCTGAGGGAGTGAGAGAAAGAAGAGGCTTGGTGAAGTTGTGTGGAAGGCACACTTGAGCACTGCACTTTTGTGAGGGCACCAACACTCGTCATATGGATCTTACTGCCAGAACTCAACCTCCATCCACTTAGGGTTCAGGGCACTTCTTTCTTTTTTTTTGTAGTTTTTGTTTTTGTACCAAGGATGGAACCCAGAGGAGCTGAACCACTGAGCCACATCTCCAGCGCTTTTTGTTTTTTTATTTAGAGACAGGGTCTCACTGAGTTGCTTAGGGCCTCACTAAGTTGCTGAGGCTGGCTTTGAACTTTCGATCCTCCTGCCTCAGCCTCCCCAGGTGCTGAGATTACAGATATGTGCCACTGCTCCCACTCCAGGGCAGTTCTAAGGCCATCAGGAAGGTGCCATAGTTCAAATAAAGACATGAGAGAGCTGAGAGGAGACGGCTGTGTTGAAAGATCTCAACGTTTCAAAGGAGGAATTATGCCAACAAGAAATTACATAGAGATAAAATGGACCTTTGTATGGACATTGAAGAGGACAAGGGCTGAGAGGGTGACCTGCTGGGAGCCAGGGCCAGAGTGTTTTGTGATTAAAGGATTCGATCACAAGATGAGCAGACGATGACTGTGAGGTGGGCTGAGGCAGGACCACTGCACAAAACAGCTTGTACTGCCATACAGGAGGACGTTAGGCATAGAGGGTGATGCACTGCAGATGAAGCTGTGTGCTCTTAAGTAAGTTGCTTAACTTCTCTGAGCCTCAGTCTCCTCATTTGTAAAATGTTGTCTACAATGATAAGAGGAATCTAAAGCTTCCCACTGTATGATATGACAGTGATTAGCATTCAGTCTTCACTCAATATCCACAGGCAGTTGGTTCCAGGACCACCCACAGAAGCCAAACACATCAGATGCCCAAGTGTCTTGTATAAAATAGTGTAGTATTTGCATGTAACCTACACACACCTCCCACATACTTCAAATAATCTCGTATGAATTAAAATGCCTGATATATTGTCAGTGCTGTGTAAAGAGTTGTTATACTATATTATTTAGAGAATGACAGTAAGAAAACCATCTGAACATAGTCAGTGTGGGTGCTGGGTTTTTTTCCCCCAAAATGTTTTTGGTCTACGGTTGGTGGAATCCACTAATGCGGAGCTGGAGGACACAGAGGGCCGACTGTATACAATTCTGTCTTCCCTCCAGACTCTAGCCTAGCGGTTCTCAGATGTGAGCATGCATCAAAATCACAGTGCCAGGCCCCAGTCCCAAAGCTTCTGATGCAGGGAGTTGGGGTGGAATCCAAGCATTTGTGTTGCTCTCTAGATGCTCTTGCTGCTGGCGGGGGGAACACACTGTGGACATTACTATTCCACAACCTGTAGAGACTGTACACTCCTGGTGGGCAAGGGTGCCCAGTATCTAGTGCAGTGATTGACATAACTCAGACTAGGAAGAGTCTCTGTAGAATAAATAGAGGTGGTGTTGAATGAAAACAAAGTCACATCAGTACAGTCTTGAAACTGTACTGAGAATTCTACTTAAGTGAAATCATACAGTATTTTTTCTCTTGTGTCTGGTTCATTACACTTAGCATAACATCTTCAGAGTTCGTCTATGTTGTCTGGTGTGTCAGAATTTTAGTCCCTCTTAAGGCTGGATCCTATTTTCTTATATAAACCCCCAATTTTGTTGACTTATCCTGGATGGACCTTTGTATTGTTTCCACCTTGGGGCTATTGTGAATCATACGGCGTGAACATGGTGTATAAATATCTGTTTGGGTTTCAGCTTTCAATTCCTTGGGGTGTTTACCCAGAAGTGGAATTGCTGAGTCATGTGGAAATTCTGTGTTTATTTTTTGAGTCAGTAGTGTTTTTCAAGCACAGTCGGGGCCGCATGCGGAGGACAGGGTAATCAGACTTCCTGTGATTGGAGTTACCTGGAAACCAACGAGACCAGCCTTCCTCAGCTGGGATTAAGGCACCTGTATGTTTTTAAAGTCCCCTGGTGATTCCAAGGTATAGACACATTGAAGTATCATTGCTTTACACTGGTGCGTCTCAAATTTGAGTTGGTATAAAATTCACACACTTGCTAAGAGTACAGATTTTTGACAGCACCCCAATCTTGAGAGTCTCAGTGAATGGGTCTGGGGGAGCCTGGGCTTCACTGGTCTCGAGACTCTGCAAGTGATTCTAATGTGTAGCCAGGGCTGAGAGCCACTAATCTTGTTCGGCCTCAGGGAAACATGAGAACACTGAGGCTACATGAAGGGACACATTCTGTCTAAGCCTCTGAGCCCCGAAGGGCAAATCTGCACTGGTTCCTAGGCTGATCCCCAAATCAATCCCATGTGTTCCC